ATGCAGCTAACAGACTGGCCCCATGCCCCTCATTTGGCCTTAGGGACCAAAGGGTTGAGCACCACTGTTAGGCATCTGTGACTATAGTTTCCCTATTCACTAGTATGCTTATGACAAATGAATATGCCGGTTGCCTAACCTATAGAGCTAATTACAACTAAAATAGAGAAAATATGAAAAGAATGGACAAAATTCAAACCTCTGACCTTGAAAATTTTCAACCATGTCTAAAATCTGATAAACTGACAAAAGATTGTGAAAAAATCATCATTTTTCCCCTGAATTATTTCAAATTTAAAAAATTAAGTTTCAAAGTTGAAATATTGAGCTGTTCTGTTTAATTTGTTTAAATTTTGGGTAAATGCGTATATTTTTTAAAAGAAAGGTTTGTGTTCAGTATAAAAAAATATTAAATGTAACATGTATCAATATAAAAAGTCATGCAGTATAAGAGCGGTTATTTTTCACCCATTCAATATGTTACTTTTAGCTCTCTAGTTCCTGCCATTTCCTGCCATTCAGAACTAAAAAAATGCACAATGTATGCTTGCCATGATATTCAGTGCTTTATATTCCTGTTTCTTTCACCTTACCAGGTTGGTTACCCAACCAAGTCTTTGAAGAATTTGTTTTTTTAAATATATGTATTTTGCTAAAGATTAATTGTAGGTTAATAGATTTCATAGAAGTTAGGGCTAGAAGGGACCTTGAAGATCATCAAGTCCAGCCCCCTGCCCCAGAGGCAGGAAGTCAGCTAGGGTCAATGGATCCCAGCAAGGTAAGCATCTAAATGTTTCTTGAATGAGTAAATGCCTGCACCACTTCTGGAGGGAGTGTATTCCAGGTCTTGGGGGCTCGGACAGTAAAGCAAATTTTCTTATGTTCAACCTAAAACAGTCTTGGAGGAGTTTATGACCATTGGTCCTTGTTTTACCTTGGAGCATTCTGGTGAACAGGTGTTCTCCCAGATCCTGATGCATACTCCTTATGGACTTATAAGCAGCCACCAGGTTCCCCCTGAGCCTGCATTTTTCCAGGCTGAAGAGTCCCATGGCTCCCAGCCTCTCATCACAAGGCCTATTCTTTTGCCCTCTGATCATACACGTGCCTCTCCTCTGGACTCTCTCAAGCTTCTTAACATCCTTCTTGAATTGCAGAGCCCAGAATTAGATGCAATACTTCAGCTGCAGCCTCACCAAGGCTGAGTACAGTGGGAGGACAACATCATGAAATTTACTTAAGCAGCATCGATGGATGCAAGCCAGAGTTTTTTCTTTGCTTATCCAGCTGCAATATCACATTGGTGGCTCATGTTCATCTTGTGTTCAGTCATGACCCCCAAGTCTCTTTCAGCAGTGGTGCCAGCAAGCGTAGCACTGCCAAGCCTATAAGTATGCTGCGAGTTTTCCCCTCCCCAAGGTGGAGTACCTTGCATTTATTGGTATTGAATGTCATCAGGTTTGTATCCGCCCACTTACTAAGTTTATCCAAGTCAGCCTGTCCTCAGGTAAGGACCCTATGCCCCAAAGTTTAGTGTCATTGGTGAACTTAGCCAGTGCGCTTCTGACACCAATGTCCACATCGTTGATAAAGATGTTAAAGAGAACCGGTCCAAGGACCTTGGGGGACACCACTGGTAACACAGCGCCGTAATGATTCACTACCATCGACCACTACCCTCTGGGTCTTACCTTGGAGCTAATTTCCCAGCCATCGGACTGTGGTGTAACTGAGGTCACAGTTGGCCAATTTTTCCATGAGGAGGTCATGGGACACCAGACCAAAGGCTTTTTTAAAGTCTAGATATATGACATCAATCTCTTCCCCTTGTCCAGGTGATATGTCACCTGGTCATAGAGGGAGATGAGATTGGTCAGGCAAGACCTACCTGAGACAAACCCATGCTGGCTGTCCCTCAGGATGTCACCCTCAGCTAGCTTACCAAGTAGGGTCTCTTTGATAATTTTCTCCAGAATCTTACCAGGGATTGAGGTTAAGCTGATTGGCCTGTAATTCCAGGGATCTACTTTCCACCCTTTCTTGAAGATGGGTACCACATTGGCCTTCTTCCAGTCTTCAGGTACTTCACCTGAGCACCATGAGTTTTTGAATATTTTTTGCCAATGGTTGGGCTATGACAACTGCCAGCTCTTTGAGTAATCTAGAGTGTAATCTGTCAGGACCAGCTGACTTGAAGGTGTCCAGCCTCTCAAGGTGATCCCTTACTACATCAACACCGATGCTAGGTATAAATATGCCGTCACCCTGGCCACCCTGCATCATGCTAGGCAGGGGCGGTCCCATTGTGCTGATGAAAGACCAACACAAAGTACTCATTAAGCAGATTGGCCTTTTCCTGGGAGTCTGTTATCAGTTGTCCCATTTGGTTCAGCAGGGGTCCAGTGCTACCTTTGCTTTTTTTTCCAACTCCCTACATATCTGAAAAAGGACTTTTTGTTATCTTTGATATGTGAAGCCCGATGGAGCTCAGTTGCAGCCTTGGCTTTCCTGATCTACTCCCTGCAGGTACAGACCAGTGCTGAGTTATTGTCTTTGGTGGTAATTCTAGTCTTCCATCCTTTTTAAGTTTCTCTTTTGAGGCATAGGAGGTCCTCAAGTTCCCCGCTGAGCCAAGGGGGTTGCTGTGCCCTTTTGCTACCCTTTCTCTGTGATGGGATGGATCACTCACTTGAGAAGCAACTACTCCTCTTGGACTCCTCTTCCTGTCGAGTCGTGATCCCTTAGGTATTGACAATGAGCCTCCTGAGCTTGTCAAAGTCAGCTTTCCTGAAGTTGAGGACTTCTGTATTGCTGACTGACTTGTCAGCTTTGCCATGGAGAGTAAAGGTGATCAGCTCGTAGTCACTATCACCCAGCTTTCCATTGATTCTTAGGTCACTGACTATGTCATCCCCTTTGGTCAGTACCAGGTCCAGCAACACTTTACCTCTTGTTGGCCCATAGTCTTCTTGAGTCAGGTAGAGCCCATCCACACATGTAAGGAAGCTTTGCAACCGATCAGATTTGGCCAAGTGTTCTTCCCATGAGATGTCTGTGTAGTTAAAGTCTCCCATGACAAACATACACTGAGACCATGCAGCCTTATCCACTTCCCTTGTGAATTCCTGGTCCAGCTTTTGTTTCTAGTTTGGAGGTCTGTAGTAGACTCCTACCATGATGTTCCCTGTGCCACATTCCCCATGTATTTTAACCCACATGGACTCCAGTCATCCTTCCTGGGTGCCAATGTCAAGGACGTGTAGCTGTCCTTGACATAGAAAGCTATACCCCCACACCTTTCATCTGTACTATCTTGCCTGTATATAGTATAGCTATTTATGCCTGTGGCCCAGTCATATGCAGAGTCCCACCATGTTTCCTTTATGCCTATGAGTCATAGTCATTCTTGTTTAGCAGGAGGACCAGTTCCTCCTGTTTATTACCCAAGCCCCTGGCATTGGTGTACAGGCACATAAGTGTCCCACTGGGATCCCTTTCCTTCCCTACAGATCATTTCAGAGATAGGGTAGGGCTGGGTTCCCTTAAATGCCTTAGCCTGCTAGATTTACAAAGGTTGCCCAGTGGAATTGCAGTGGTGGTAATCCCCCAAATCCCTGGCAGGCTTAATTTAAAGCCTGGTCAGGCAGGTTGGCCAGTCTGGCTGAGAAGAGCCTCCTCCCCCATGGAATGAGGTGGATGCCATCTCTCCCCAGCAGACCACTGCCTCTCTCACTAAAGAGTGGACTGTGATCATGGAAGCCAAAGCCTTCACGATGATACCAGTGCCACAGTCTTTGCTTCACTACCTCAATCCTCCTCTCCCTCCTCAGCCCATAGCCCAAAATCGGGAGGATCGAGGAAAGCACCACCTGTGTTGATTGACTATTCAAAGAGTTACAAGTGTAACAATAAATATATTTTAGCTTTGTAGCAATTTAGGCCCTCATGGCCAAATCACCCCTGGTGATCACTGTCATACCCGCACTCTCTGGCCTGGATCCTGTCTTACCCCTGCCCTCTGGCCTCTCAGTTTCCACCCTGTTGTCTTGCCTGCCATTCTATGGTGCTATAATTGGACTGGGAGGCTGCCCCTAGAGTTCAGGAGGTTTCACTTCAGGTCTTAGATCCTTGTCTGGGCTGTGGGCCCCTGGCCGTGGCCCACCTCACTCTGGCAAGGCCTCTCCACAGAAGATCCACTGTTCCAGGACCCTAGGCTTCCAGGCCCCAGCTTCAGCCTTGCCCTCATGGGATCTGGACCTCTGTCACACCCTTGCAGGCTTTGGGCCCTTTGGCACCTGTCCTATCCTGCACTGTCCCCAACCAGCCCTCTGGGTCCCTGACCCCAGGTTAGGCTGCCTTCACTCTATCAGCCCTTTCACTACATCAGCCTCAGCCCTCTGAGTCCCTGACAGTTCCACACAAGGTATCCATCCGTGGCCTCCATGCCTCCCCCCATAGCCTTAACCTAGTCCTCCAATATAATACAAAACCCAAACAACCACAGAAAATAAAACATAGGATTCATCCCCTCCTGTGCAGCCTGCTTGCAGCACACCTATAGCAAAGGTCTGAGCTAATCTTCATCTCTGGCATCAGTCTCACGCTTTTTTGGTCCTTGGCTTCTCTCCCTTCCCAATTTTCTGACCTGACTTGCTGTTAGTAGGGCCCAGGTGCTGCTCATCTCTTATTCAACAGCGATATGTTGTGCTGCCTGCAATCTGAAGGCTGAGTCCACTAGACAGCAGATGCAGGTAGCACACACATTTCCTTGCAAGCTTCACTTGCTTCAAGTAACAGGGGTAAGGAGTCTGCTGTTACAAACTCCTTTACAAATAGCCCTTGATTTACTGTAGCACTTCTGCAAGTATTTAAATATGCTAATAGTACCACTGACTCAAATATTCACATTTTCTAAATTATTTCCTCCCATAAATTTGTGCTATCTTCCTTTAATGCCAGTGTCAAAACTTTTATAGTTAATGTACTCTTAATTTTAACTTGGGACCCCCAGTCTAGTAAGGTATTGAGAACTCTGCAACGTGTCCAGCAAAACACTTGTTTTATTGGGCAGTCTTAATAGTGTGTGTTGCTATTAAAACCATTAGTATCCATAGGAATAGTTGTGAGGTTAAGCATGTCCTGAAATGATTTGCTATATCACAAATGCTCAAAAATGCATTTAATAAGCCATAAATTGTTTATTTCATTTCCATTTAATTTAATATTGTGTTGCTGAAAGAAAAACATCCAAGTAATAAAATCTCTCCTCTGAATATAATTGTAACATCATATCTCCTCTAGAAAACTAGTGTTTTAATTTATTACATCATCTCTTATTTCTTTCTTGTCATCCCTTTGAATCTCAAACATACACTAAAGCATTTTTGGGATAGTTTTGATTTTCATTTCTCAACTCAAATGATGTTTTCACTTTTTTTATTTAGTAAAAGGGAAGTTAGATCAATGTGATTGTTCCCCATCCCTCCCCACTGAATTTTGTACATGCACAAGCTGGTCAGCGGGGAATTTAGCCTATGGTTCAAGAAGCAGTCTGGGTTATTTCCATGTATGGTTTACAGATTTTTTTTTCTTATATCAGTAATGTAAATGTTTAATAATCAGAGGATAATTTTGTTGAATTAGAAGGGACAAATATTGGTCTTTTGTTGCAGCTAAGGCCGTCTTCAAAGTGTCAACATTAACTCATGTCTGACTTTTCAATTAACTCTTGTGATTCCTCTTACCCCTTTCTGAGTATTTTCACTCAGATTGCCAGAGCCTCCATTGTTAAAAGTCTGCTTTGCATGATTCAGTTAGCTAAGAACTTTATTTACTCACATACCACACCTTTCCCCCTTCCAAATCCAAGGCTTCTAAGCTTCATGCCCTCCTTCCCACACCCATCCTGTAGAATCATTATTCCATTGGCTCTTCTGGTGATCAGTACAGGCCAGTACGAATTTCAGTGGCCTTACACGTAAGCTTACCTATACTTTACTTCATCACTCTCTACTTTCTTACTCAACTCCATTTTGCCATTCTTTTCTTTCTTCTTAACCTTCATGCACTATCCTATTTGTCCTACATCCTTGTGTACTAATATTAATGGTATTTATCTCATTACAAAAGCCTTGTATCAGATCTGTCAATAATGTGCATTCAGATACTCAGATAAAAGCTGTTTTCAATTTGAGACTAACTGTGAGAGGGTTAATACTAGATATTGCCCCTCTGGCTTGCTGCCTGAGAGAGAACCTAGAAGCCATCTTGCAGTACAGCCTCTCCATGCTTCTGTCTAAGTGGGTGTGAAAAAACCTAGCTTTTCTACTAGTCACACACCCCAATTGTGAAGAGCTGATTTTTGGGAAAAGGGTGCCTGTGGTATGTGAACAAATACAGTATTTGGAATAGCCATCTAATGTCTTGATTTCATCATTTTTACCCCTCCATCTCTTTCGAAACAATGGCTTTTCTCCCTGTTCCATAACTATGATTTTCTATTGCCCTCTAGCTAAGAATTGTGTGGTATTATTTAGTTCTGCAAAGCATATTGGGATAATTCCTGTGGAGGATATTGTTTGGATATTCATTTCTTAAATAGGAGGCTATATTAGTTAAAAGTTGCCAGAAATCAACACATGCTTTACCAGTGCTTCTTTAGGGATCATAATATTGTTTTCCAAATGCCAAGATAATGATTAATGGAACAGAAAATTTCCAGACTTTACTGCATTGTAAACTATTTACTAGATTAGACAACAGTAATGCTGTTCTACTTGTCAAAATTTGCACTATATTTTAATACTGAAGATGACAACATACACACAGACTGCCAGTCATGCCTCATCAATTTTAGGCACAGAGTTTAGGCAAGATATTCAAACTTTAAAAAGTATATGGGGAGAACATCCAAAAAAACTACTGATACCTGGAGATGGCAAGCAAAGACTGCAAAGAGGCAACACAAAGGTGAAAATACAGGAAAAATTTCTCTTATGATTTTCAGTTAAAGAACAACAATTTTAAATTAGAATTTAGGGAATCACTGTATGTTATTTTTCTTCCAAAGAACAACAATGGTAATAAAATAATAACTTCTGTGAGATAGCCACTCTCCACAAGCGACAATGAGAGGCTTGTATGAATTAAGAGCAAGGCACCATGGGTCTTGTGAGAAACTTGAAGGTGAGCTGACTAATACCAAGTCATCCTTGTATTCAAAATACCTTTGAACTCTAAATATCTTCAAGTACCCTGCATAGATAGAGCTATGGTACAGTCTCACTTTGTCATCAGGTCCAGTCATGGTTGTCTGCTAAAGCGCTATAGCAATTGCTTATCCAATATCCTGGCTCAAGCAAAAATGTGTAGAAACTTATAATGCTGTTCATAAAAAGGGTTCTGATACTTTATGCCCATTGGAAGCAGGATGTTCCCATCTAACCACAGGAATATACAGGAGACCTGTATAAACTGAAACTGCTTAAATGCTATGGAGCTCAGGGTCATAAGTCAACCTTGTATGTCATTCCTACATACCTTACCATGCAGTGCATGTTTTGACAAAATATACAGTACATCTGCAACAAACATCAGGACCAAGCAAGGAAGATCTCGTTCATTCTCTTTTTGCCAGGAAGCCATGAGGCTATGGACATGGGTTTAGTAATGGATACTTTCCAAGAATTGGCAGCAGCCCAGTGAACTTTGAGTAGACATGTAGTCATGAACCAATAATGCTCAATATAGTTGTCTGTTGAGCAGATAATATATAATCAATGTGGTTTAAATCCTGGAGATACAAAAATACAAAAAAGGTTTTGCCCCAGAAGAGCAATGGGCTTAAGGCCTTCCACTGATCCCTTTGGATCAATGATATTCAAAGTCCAAAGTCCTCATCCTTATTGTTCCTTAGTAGCTGAAGGACTTTTCACTGTCAGACCTATCCAAAGGATAGCTCAGATACCCCTGATTGCAGGTTAACCCTACACTCTCCTGTCTCCTTAGGATCTCCTCCCTTTTACACTCACATTCTATGCCTTGATGTATCTGGGGAGGTTGCTTTAAAGGGAGCCTGATGGTGTTATCCTTAGTCTGGTCTCAGCTCCTGGCTCTTCCTCTCTGCTTTCTTTCTTGTTCCCTCACTGGCCCTAAGCATGGCCTCCAGCCTCTCTCCTAATTAGGGTTCTACCTAATTGATGAGGGCTGCTCCCCAATTTCACAGGCAGAATGTGGGCATGGGCAGCCATTTCATGGGCCATGGCTGATTAGCAGAGGGGCCCCTGTGACTCTGCTCCTCACCACTGATTGCCTGCAAGGGCTATCCATCATGGAGCCCCCCCCCCCACTGCCAATTAGTGGAGAGGGGTGGGGCCACAGGCAGGCCTCACAGTCAATCATTGGTGAGGGCTGGTGATCATCTTGCCTGCAGCCCTTCAAGAAGGCAGGCCCCACCACCACAGCACACTGAAGACTGCTAGTTCTCTCTGACGAGCCGGCACATTTTCTATCAGGTTTTTGTTTGTTTTTGGTGCAGATTCCATTCCAGAATCTGCAAAATCCATGAAATCGTGAATTAGGTAGGTCCCACCCATAATCATGCCCATGCCTCACAGGTTTTACTTATTCAACATTCATCACAGCCCCCTAGAACTATTTCTGGTTCCTTCAAGCCTCAGGACCCTGGCCCCTGTCTCAGTCTCTGCTCACTCAGACTTGACCCCTGTATCAGTGTTGACCCACTCGAATCCAAGCCTCTGCCCTGGCTTTAGCCTAACTGCTCTGGCTTCAGCCCCTCAGCTTCAGCCCTTTTCTCTCCCTGAGTTCCCAGAAGATGTGTCTGGTCATGATAGACACATCTACTCAAGAATCCAGACTCTTATATAGGAAGTGCATGAAAATTACTACAGGATTCTGACTGCGCATCTCAAAAACAGAATTACTGTTAGGTTAAAAAAAAAAAGTGTTGCTTTTTGAATTACTTACCTCAGTCTTATACTTTAAATGTTGTTTGGAATGCTTCTGGTCTTCGTGTCACTTGGTACTTTTTCACAGTTATACAGGTTTTTTTCTCCCCTCATGATTTCCAGCTGCTGATAGAATTTTTTAAAAGTGTAGCCTCTTTATGTAAGCTCTGAGGAAAATTGTGTTTCAGCTTCTCCCCACTTTCTTTCTGAAGTTTCCTAGAAGGCATGTTAGCTGAGAACAGCAAAAATGTGTTGTTAAAAAACAGTTTCTCCTTGTCTTGTAATGCACAGCAGAATTGTGATGATTCTTAGGGGGTTCAAACACACGTACTAAGTTGACTTTAAATAAGGGAACTTAACTAAGTCAACTTAAGTTGAGGCATGTCAGAGTGTACATACGTACAGGTCCTTGACATGGTGGTAGCCATCTTGTGAGCTAAGTCAAGTGAACTAATGTGACTCAAGATAATACACCTGGGCGGTGCTGCATTTAAATCAACTCTGCTCCACATATGTGTGTATGCTGTGATAATTAAGTCAACTTTAAGAAGTTAAATCGGCTTAACTATCAGAAAGTTGCTGTCAGAAAGTTAGTACATTAGTACAAATAGCATAGTATTAATGAGAAGATCTGTTCACGAAGGACAATGCAAGTTTTTACACAGCTGGATTGACATTTGTTTGGGTACAATTAAAATTTCATTTTTATAATATTTGAAAAGAATAGTAATACTTAGTTTAAGGGGGAAAATAAGGAATTAGGAACTCTGATTTTTTGTAATACCTTTGCACAATGCTACGTGTTTTCCTTCATGAATCAAGGAAGAAAACCCAAAATGTCTTGTCTTCCACGACATAGCTAAACAAATGAGCAGCATTATTTGCCACCACACAAAGCCAATCCTAAACTTGTAAAACTGAGAGAGAACTGTGTTCAAACTGTGCAAGTTATCTTATAATTTAATGAACTGTATTTCTGATGACACATGAGGTGGTGTAGATGTACCAAGCCCATTTTGAAATATTGCTGTCATATATCTTGGGGAAAAGGCAGGTTTATACAGAGCTAGTGTGGACATGACTTTTCAAACTTAGCTCATTTTGAAGTTTGTTGCTAAGACTTCCAGGTAGCAAACTAGTTCTCTAACATAAAATGTATAATAAATAATAGTGTTTGCTGTGCCAGGCTTGGATGCACTTTCTGTTTTGTTTGCTTTAATATAATTTTGCATTAAAATTGAAATACCAGTAAATCTGATTTATTGGCAGAGCTATGAGAATTATTCAGTCAAATTGGGAAACTGTTTTGGTCTGAGCCTGAGATAGGAGTCTTCATGTGCTCACGAAGTTTGGTTCATATTTAAAAAAATGCTGTGAATGTAGCCTGAGGCTGTTTGCACAGCTGGAAAGCAATTAAATGTTTTTAAAACTTTTGTATCTTCTAAGCTATATATTTTTTAAATATTCTGGGCTGGACATAAACAAACAGCATGCAACATAATTGACTGCAAGATCATACTTATAAGTGCAAATAATATAAGGTATACCAATCAATACTCATCTTTTGAAAAGCAGTGAAAGGGATTTAGGTTTATTGTAGATAGCCAACCAAATGTGAGCTCATATTGTGACATTAGGGTAAACGGGGCAAACAAGTTACTTGGATATATTTTTAGGGAAATATTGAACAGGATTAAGGAGCTGATTTGTTTTATAGGATATCAGACTACATTACCAAAACAGTCCATTCTGGCCTTAACATTTATGAAGCCATAGAAATAATTTTTTATTTTACTAATGGTCTGAAATTTCATTCCCAATACTTTTATATTAGAACAAAGCACAGCTCTAGGCCTCTACAAATAATCTCTAAAAGGAGCAAGATGCCTCGCCTCCCCTCCCACCAATATTGCCAGTTGGTGGGAAGGACAGTTTAAAACTATCATATGAACAAATACTAAGACACATATTTCAAAATCCTAAAAAAGGAATGCAACATAACATTTAAACTCATTAGTTGTTACCAAGATATACCTTGTATACTGTTCTTTTTATGGCATGATTTAGTTTTGTATATATTCAAGTGCATTATTGCAACAAAATCCACAGCAAAGGAAAGATACTTGTGTGAAGTTGGATCACATTTGAAATCCTACTATTTTTGCTGTTAAATCACTGTTTTCAGAAAGCTGTTTTTAGTAAGTCACTAGCTTTAGAAAGCTTTGGTTACCTCAGGAAGCTACTTAGGGGGAGCTGGCCTGGGAGCTGAGGGTGGGGCAGGAGGGAAGGCTGGACTCAGTGACCCTAAAGATCCCCTCAAATCCTATACTTTTATCTTAAGCCACCAACACAAAATGCAAGTGATGTTGTCTCTCACCATCTCCCTCCAACCTTATTGTAATAAGCTCTTGCTGTATATCTTAAAATGCCAAAGGATTGTGACAGAATCCCATTGTTTGATTGTATCGACCCTCAGTGGATGCCTTCAAGATTTGTTTTCTATTATTCTGTTCATTCCCAATTACGGTATCTAAGTATTAAAGTAATGAGCACATTTGAAAGGCCCAAGTTACATAGCAGTATGATGTATAACTCAATACAACTAAACCACTAATAAAATAGCCTATTAACAGGAAGATATGCATATTAGTTGCTTTTGGTAATTGAGTCAATTTGCACATTGATTAAATGTCACGCTCCTTGAAAAGGAAATAGTACGAGTAACAGAAAAAAGGACAGAAGGAAGATTGTGGGATATAGTTTCGCTTGCTGTTTTATTTGTGCTGTTCTTTAAGTAATGATTCTCAGCTGGGGTGCCTTGACACCCTGAGGTACAGTGTGTTCCTACAAGGGGTGCTGCAGCACACCGCACATACAGTATATGGCAAATAAAAGACTCTTCTCCCCTGTCTGGCTCCCTATGCCCACTGCAATCAATGGAATCCCTGTCTGCTTCTCTGGGGACTGCTGCCACTGAAGCCTCTCTTGCCTCCTTTCTGGCCCCAGTACTCAGAGCAATGAGACAGATGCATGGATGGAGCAGTACTTTTCAGACCACTCCACCCCTGTAGTTTCTCCCATGCTCCCAGGGCCAGTAGGAGGGACCAAGGGGGAGGATGGCTCTAGTTACCAGCCTGCACAACCTCAGGCAAACAGCCTTGGCCACAGAGACCACCCTTACCCTCTCAGGTATGGATCAGGGGTGGCAGGGAGAGTAAGTAGTGGAAAGAATGGGGCATGGTAGAGTGAGGTTCTGCTCCTGCCACCCTCCCCTTGCACCAGTTAGATCAGGGTTTCTCAACATTTTTAGCTTCAAAGCAGCCCTCCAAAACTTTTTTGAATTTAGTTTCTCACTGAAATCTCAGCTGGGAGCCCATGGTGCTACTAAATTCAGAAACGTTGTGTAGGGAGTGCCTTGAGGCTAAAAAAGTTGAAAAACACTGCTTTAAGGCTTACATCATAAGTACCTGGTATATGACTGAATGTTAAAATTGTAATTTGGTAAATTAATCAGGGCACCCTTAGAAGATCTGCTCTTTAAAATTTCAGTAATTCATCCAGATATTGTTGCATTTTGGAAAAGCTTACTCTAGACCTTAAGTTACAGGATATTCATAGATTCATAGATGTTAGGGTTGGAAGGGACCTCAATAGATCATCAAGTCCGACCCCCAATTTTTTTTGTACATGTACATTTTTTGTCTAACTGACTTTATACTACAGATAAATTGGCTCATATGATTAATTCCAGTTAGTCTTTACCACTGATATTAGAAGAGTGGCTGTGTGTGCAGTCTGTTTGCCATCTTAGTTAATATGCCCCAGCATTTCAGCCAATACCAGTGGCCACCCACAAGAAGTGCTTGGCAGCAGTAGACCCCAGACGGTGAACTCAGAAAGCAGTCTTTCTGTAGCAGCAGTAGCATCTGGGTCTGTGTCTGACTTTCTCATTGATCTCTGCTCAGCCCCAGTGCTCATCTTCCTATTTGATATTGTCATGGATATTAAACTGCCCCTGGGAATAGTTCCTTTTGGAAAGTACTTTCTTTTCAGTCAGAAGAGTTTTACCTTTCTTTTGATCCTCTTCACAAACTTAAAAGTGTTAGTGGAAGTAGTGAAATATGAATTGTGCTTTTATTGCTATATAAACCATATTTTATTGCTATATAAACCATACTTAAAATAATTTCAACCAGAAACTTCGCAATTCCCTAGGAGGCTAGTTTCGTCTAGGATAAAGTTGTCCTTTCCACAATATAGTTCTGGAATAGGGGTTAGGAAGAGGAAGAAATCTGTGGTGCTACACAATAACTCTGTTAGTAGGAGGGTTCTTCTTGCAAAACTGAGTAAAGGTGAATACAGACATCTGAGAATTTAGATCAGGTGAAAAATGGCTGCCTAGTCTAAATTAGTTCATTCTCCTCTGGATCTTACATTTAGATCCCTAGTTAGGTTGATCTACCATATGGATATTCCCCAAAGATTAGATCAGTCAAAAATTGGTCATCCCAATTTAACTTTAGATCACCTGAGAGTGAACTAAGTTAGATTGGGCACAGTTAGATGAATCTAGCTGTGATCATTTGGAGTGTAGCCCCTGCGCTGAGAGAGGCCAGCTGCTTACCCCAGCCCCAAGGCTTTGCTTTTCGTACACCTTACCCCCACCACTGGGCTATTTTTAGCTCCCTCACCCTTTACCCCGTTCCCAAAGGGACAATCTTCCCCCTGCAGACCAGCTACCCCCCCAAACCAGCCAATGCCCTGCCACAGACCATCCTTGGTTCCAGTTTGACCAGCGTTTGCCAGCACCAGGAAGTAATTTAGGGTGGGGGGAAAGGGCAGGCAGGATCAAGGGATGGAGGTTGGTCCATAGGGGAGGGGATTGTTTGTCTGTGGCAGGACGGGTTGGGGAGGCTGAAAATGGTCCCTAGTTGTGAGGGAGAGAGCCCTCCCAATGCTGCCAACCCCACCAGCCCCTGTGCAAAGCTGCTAGGCCCACATGATCTGCCAGCCCAACCCCCACCCTGACTTACACTAGTGAATGCCTGTGAAATCAGCACCAGGAGTGGTTTGTGGGATATTGGGGGAGGGGGAGAGGGTCTGGCAGGATCAGAGAGGCTTTTCAATCCTGCAAGGCCTCCTTGGACCCTACAAACCCTCCTGCAGATCCTGCTAGCTTGCCAAATCCCCCAACCTTCTGCCCACGGCCCCTGATATCTTCGCTTTATGCTGTACATGCATTCCTGGGAAATGGAACATGACTCAAATTTGTATAAAGGGATCCCATTTTACAATGTAACAAATAGGGATATATTCCAAGACCTCAACTATAATGACCTCAGACCCATTCCTACTACTTTTACAAGACAATTCTGTTACTCACCAACAGCAAACAGTACACACAAGCACAGGGCACTATCCTAATGGGGACAGCAACTACAGAAACACGTGTCACAGACAATGAGTGAGAAGCACAGATCCACGCAGGAGACTATATTTTGGTGTGCATCACTCCCACGATGCACTGCACAAAGCAGCTGACTGTGGGCTTCCACCACACCGATCGCGTAAGAGTGTATTTACTTCACATATAACAAATTTTTTGGTATAAAAAAGGTCATTGCATGACAGTGAATTCGCACATACAAAACCCACATAGAGTGAGGGAAACCTGTATGTTTATTCTGCCTTGACTGTAATTGTAAAATCATAATGTCAGAAGACCTCTCAAGAGTCATCTAGTCTAAGTCACTTCACAAATGCAGGATTTTCTATTCTTAGATCCCTGGCAAACATTAATATAATCACACAATTGGGATCGGAGGAATTGTATGATTGATCCCCAAAACTGCATGTCCTGCCATGCCAGATCCCAATCACATGATTGCTAATGCCTGCACTTGGTGATAAGTGAGCTCCCTGATCCCCAGCTGCATGCACTCTTTAAAGGTATTCAAGTTGCTGGTATATAGGTGCACAGAGAGCCTGGCATTGGGGATATGGGGAAGACTGGCCCCCAGCATGCCTTTAAGTTGAAAGGCATGCTGTTGCAGCCCATAAACACAGTCTAAATTTAAATTTGTGAGTTTTGAATTGTGCAGCAATCTTTTCCGTGCCTCTCTGTGTTATGTAAAATTAGCTACCTTGTTTATATGGATAATTGGAATGTTACTTTACAATCAGCTGCAAAGGAGGTTCAAACACAAATCTAATTATTTCTCATGTTTCTGAACTCGTTATATCTTTCACAGCTTTATTTATGAATAAAATCTTGTGCTTTTTAAGTGTGATTTTTGTTTGTAAATTCTGTCTGATAACAGCTCTCTGAAAAAACTATGAGCCATTGCAATTAATAAACATGGAACACCTATTTGCTCTAATCTATAGAAAGTTTATTTGTGCATATCCAGAGAGCATAGAAAAATAGTTCACATCAGTATTAAACTTCACAGCAAATTTATCTCAGTCCCTTATTTATTCTATGGGTCACGCTGACTTAAATATTCCTTGTGTCAGCACAATGCAACAGTAAAAGATTATATCTTGTACAAGCTTTATAGAGAGTACTAGAGCTTTCTTAAATTTATTGCAAATTAATACTTGGGCTTGTATAAATTGATAATGAAATAATATTAACTGTTTTTAGACCTTTGAACACAAGGACCAATTATAGCCATTTAAAAGTAAACAAGTCCTTAGAGATCATTTATGGGCACCAGAAATTTAAAGCACTTCCCTGAACAACAGAATTGTATATGCAGTACCTGCTTTATATTTATGAGAAATGAAGACAACTTTACTTAAGACACTGTTCCTATTAAATGAACCACTTTTATAATAATAGCTTCCTGCCTCATACAACTGATGGCAGAGTTTCTTAACTATCTTCATGTTGTTCTTGCTTGGTGGTCATTCACTGTAAAAGGAAACAATGCATTTATTTGCATATGTATTCTGTTGGACAGTATTCGTAGTATCTATGAAGAACAGAAAATGAAACAAAAGTTGCATTCTTCTATTTATACTGCCACATGACCTCCAAGAAATTGGCTCTAAGTCCCTGACAATTTGCTAGTTTTAATGCAGTCATTAATTGGGTAAAAATTGCTATCAGTAGAAGATTTGGTGGGTAGGGGGCATTTGTTTGTTTTTGTTTTGTTTTGTTTTATGATTTTAGGACTGGATAATAAGAATCTAAGTAAGAGAGAGAGGCATTTTTAATAGTATATTTTTATTAGAGCCTCTGGTATTATGGAGAAGCCAATACGTAACTCCTGAAATGCCTAAATTTCTGAAGTTGGGATTCTAGCCTTGGTCAAGAAAACATTTTGGAAAGGCAGTATTAGTAACATAATGAACTATTGAGCTTTAATTAATTAATTAATTAACATACAAGCAGTTTCATTTGAATCCACTTTCCTGAGAAGTTAAATGCTGGGAAGATTACACACAAAGAAAAGTAGCTGCTGAAATAGCATTGTTAGAAGAAACTAATCTTGATGTCTGTTAATGTTGTTGTTGGTTTGTACTGAAATAGTGGTTAGCCTCAGACCACAGAATACTGCTGTGAAAATGTGCCCTTCTAACTGTATATGCAGAGGTGAAAAAAGCAATAATGTTACTGCAATAGTGTAACTGGCAGTTTACACCCTGGACCAATCCTGATGCTTCAGGAGGTGTCATTGTAGCCAGTAGCTAGAGAGTAAATGGAACATCTGTTTCCATTTTGTTGCAGAGCATACTGAATGTCCTAACCAGCAGAAATCACCAAATATAAATTTGTTAGTAATAAAAATGGCAGCTTGCAGTAGGGGAGGATCTGCACCCAGCAGCTGTTCCATGTACCCCCTGACTACTGGCTATACAAACACCTTCCCCTGAAGCAGTGACATCTGATGTAGCAGCTGTAGCCCCAGGGGCAAGGAAAACACAGACTCTTAGGGGCCTCCATTCTGGTTCCACCTCTAAGGCCCCTACAAATGTTGCATTTAAAGTGTTAATCAAGCAGTTAATTGTAACCTGCCAGACATTCAAGCAATTTATCATCCATTTATGAGCTTCAAAATGGTGATCAAGCCTCAAAGATATTGTTGTAAAATGTAGAATATATTTGCAGCTCATTTGTAACACACTTCAGTTTGAATGGTAGGTTACTCATATGGTGATACTGTATGACTAGGTCCTCCAGGATTTATTGCTCTTTCCCTTACCAAGGGGACTCTGAGAGTCATGCAGAATTTTTCAGGGCATTTGTCTGAAAAACTGCAGGCAAGATGAAGAGAGAGGAAAAATGCATACATAAAATGTATGCATTTATTGGGGACAGAGAAACACTGGCTGTACCATGCCTGGGAACGGAC